AGATAGAATATATTAATCAAATCCACAAAACCTGCAGGTTTGGAGGTCCAACTGTATACAATTTCTCATCCTGCTTTATTCTTGCCCATCAGAGGTGCATTGATTCAGACTATTTGTTGCCATCAAATCAACTTTGACTTTATTTATTTATCGTGTCAGGAGCAAACCAAACAGTTGTATTGCATTTTTTAACAAACAAACAAACAAAACACAAAGTTAGCAAGCTTGGTAGTTGATTAAATGTCCTTTGACCAGTATCTGGCCACTTGGAGTGCTTCTGGTGTTGCTGCAAGAAGGTCCTCCATTGTGCATGTGACGGGGCTCAGGTTGCATTGCAGCAGGTGGTCTGTAGTTTGCTCTTCTCCACACTCGCATGTCGTGGATTCCACTTTCTGGCCCCATTTCTTAAGGTTGGCTCTGCATCTCGTGGTACCAGAGCACAGTCTGTTCAGCGCCTTCCATGTCACCCATTTTTCTATGTGCCCAGGAGGGAGTCTTTCATTTGATATCAGCCATTGATTGAGGTTCTGGGTTTGAGCCTGCCACTTTTGGACTCTCGCTTGCTCGGGTGTTCCAACGAGTGTCTCTGTAGATCTTAGAAAACTATTTCTTGATTTAAGTCGTTGAAGTGCTGGCTAATACCCAAACAGTGGATGAGCTGGAGATGTCTCTGCCTTGGTCCTTTCACTATTGGTTGCTACTTCCCAGCGGATGTCAGGTGGTGCAATACTGGCTAAACAGTGTAATTTCTCCAGTGGTGTAGGGCGCAGGCATCCCGTGATAATGCGGCATGTCTCATTAAGAGCCACATCTACTGTTTTAGCGTGGTGAGATGTGTTCCACACTGGGCATGCATGCTCAGCAGCAGAGTAGCAAAGCGCAAGGGCAGATGTCTTTACTGTGTCTGGTTGTGATCCCCAGGTTGTGCCACTCAGCTTTCATATGATATTGTTTCTAGTGCCCACTTTTTGCTTGATATTCAGGCAGTGCTTCTTGTAGGTCAGAGAACAGTCCAGGGTGACTCCCAGGTATTTGACTTTGACTTATGGCGACTGTATTGTCAAGACTGGAAAGTCTCTTTATGACCTCTATAAGGGCTCGTATGCCAGTTGCACCTAGGTTTATCAATTACACACGTTTCCTTGTAACTTAGTGAGAAAAGGGGCTTTACCTTCGTTCTCAAGATTTTGGGGGCAATTGCCATTTTATTGTATCCTGATTACATCTTAAGAGTTCCTACCAAATGGCCACTATACTTGCACAAACATATATTCCCTTTTGTTGTCCCAGTGACATGACTTCTATAAGGAGGAATCATGAACCCTCAGGTCCTGCTGGTTTAGGACCATGGCTTCCTCAATTGCGTCAGTTCATAGTTTCATTATATAGTAAAAACCTTTGTTTGTTTATTGTCCCATCTTTCCTCCAATACAGGAACTAAGACAACTTATAACATTGGTTAAAACACTACCAAAAGGATATATACCGAAAAAATAAAAACTCCTGTTCTCATGATATGTCCAAAATGCAACAGCTTTAGTTTGGTCATCTTGGTTTGTTGCAGTAGAGTGTGTTGAGTAAGCTACAACTGGTAGTAGGAGGGGAAAGAGGGCTGCTCAGGTGCTGGATCAAGAGCAGCAAAGGAAGCGAATTAGGGAGATATTCATGACACCTACAGATTCTGAATCATTTGAAGGTTTCTCAGATTCTGAAATGGAGGAGGAGGGAGATGGGGGCAGAGGCTTGAAATGGGCTACTCGGGAGTAAGAGTCAGATGAGGAACATGAAAGGAAACGTATCCGGGAAATACTTAATGCTCCGACAGAGGAGGAGGATTTTATGGGGTTCATGGGGACTGATGGGACTGGGAGTGTAACGAAGAGGAGGATGGACTAGATTGGACCCGTGTACAGGAGATCAGAGACATATGTACACAACCAACATCAAGTGATGAGTTTGAAGGGTTTTCTGGAGAATGGCAACCTGGTAATACATGGGGTGATCTAAGTCTTGATAGACGCTGGAAGAGCTGGAGGGACGGGCGGTGGTGAGCAGCTATGGAAGCAAAGGCACCTGAGAGTGATGAAGACAGGGTGGAGTCCAGCTCATCCTCTGATGAGGAGTTATAAGATAAAAGTAAGGTATCAAACTATTGGAACTTTGCAGTAGGCAAAGTGTTGTATTGGGCTTGGGACTTTGTTGCTGCCATTACTTTCGCCTTGGGTCCTGGGACTGCAGATCACTGTGTTTCTGTGCTACAACCGTCTGGAATCCTGTAAGTGCTGACTGCTATCTTTTTGCTGACTTCGGATTGTTTTTTTTGGGGGGGAGGGGGACTTCGTGCTTTGGACTGCTACAGCTTCTTCTGGACGTGCCTTGACCTTGGACTGTTTCTAGGCTACGTTTTTGCTTGCTCCTATCTTGTTTATTGATGTTTATTGGACTCTGTGTTTTTGAAGCAGTTTGCTGATACTTTTTGTTATCCCAGATTATATTCCAG